CTGCTTGGCAAAATTGGGTGGAGGCTTATTGCTGAAACTTAGACTTTTCTTTATCGCATTCTCAAAGCTAAATATTTTCCCCATGGGGATTTTTTGTTAGTCACTTTAGGTAACAATCCTAATTTTACTTGAAAAAGTGTCTTATTTGTTAAGGATGTGTTAAAATATGGAGTTAGATGGGGGTGGGGAATGGCGAGAAAATCTTGGTTAGACAAGATCCATGGGTTCCAACAGAGGAGGGATTTCAAGTGGAGGATGGTTTGAAATTTATTTCCCCTACAATGCAAGTTGAGGATCTTTTCCTAGGAAATCAAAAGGCTTGGGATGTTTCTAAGATTATTGAGTTATTTTCCTCTCGTGATATTAATTATATCCTTAATATTCCATTACCAATACAAATATTAAGGATAAATTATTTGGCATTTTGAGAAAAAAGGGAAATATAATGTTCAATCGTGTTACTTCTTGGGTCTTTGAATCCAAGGGAAAGGGGGTGAGAAGCAATCCGGGAGTGTTTGGAAAAAATTATGGGAGTTAGATATTCCACCAAAAAATTATGGTAGTTAGATATTCCACCTAAGGTAAAGGATTTCTTGTGGAGATGTTTAAGGAATATTTTGCCAACAAGGTATAGATTACGCACTATAGGGGTTCATGTAGCAAGTAACTGTGGTTTTTGTGACTTTGAGGAATCTAGAGATCATGTCTTGCTTCACTGCGTTAAGGCTAATTAAGGAAGTGTGGGAGAGCTACAAGCTTCTAGTGTCGAATTATGAAGTGCCTTTTAATAATTTTTTCCAACAAGTCCTATCTCTAAATGATGTTGCTATAAGCCAAGAGGTAGTTGTCACAGCATGGAGCTTGTGGTGGGCATGAAATCGGCAGCTTTGGCATGGACAAATACAGTCCATGTATATGATGTTGGCCCATGCAAGGCGTGTCCTTCAAGAGTGGCAGAAGGCAGCAAGTGTTTGTTTATAGTGTTATATTTTGTGATCTTAAGATGGCAGGCTATGGCTTGGTGATTGAAGATGCTGAGGGAAACTTTACCAAGGCCTTGTCGGGTTTTATGGAAAGCTACATGGACGTACTGACTGTGGAAGGTTTAGCTCTTAGAGCATGTTTATGTTGGTTAGAAAATAATATTGTTTTTCCAAGTTGCATTTTTATAAGCTCACAATCTCTTGTGTTTGCAATTACATCCCAAGGATCTGATGAAATTGAATTTGGGATGATTATTAAATATTGCAAGGAGATTTTATTGCGGAGGTCTAATATTTCCATTAGATGGATTAGAATGCAAGCAAATGGACGTGTCCATTCTCTTACAAGGGCATCTTACTCTTTCACTCTCTTTAGGATTTGGGATACTATCCCGCGTCTTTTATCATTCTATAGTTGAAAGCTTTGAATTTCAAAAAAAAAAAAAAAAAAAAAAAAAAAATCTCTTACAAGCAATCTTACTCTTTCACTCTCTTTAGAGGATTTGGATAAGTCTAAATCCCCCAGCGTTTACTTTTTACTTCATTCCTTAGTTGAAAGCTTTGAAATTTTCAAAGAAAAGAAAGGAAGAGAGCGAAGGGAAAATAGACGAAAAAAAAAAAAAAAAAAAAAAAAAAGAAAAGAAAGGAAGAGAGCGAAGGGAATAGAGAGATAGAATAAATGCTAATGCATTAAGTTTGCATATTTTGAATTTCATATTCTTTGTAATAGTGTCACCACTTATTTATAGGAGTTTGAGGAGTGCATTTCAAGAAAAGTGAATATTCTATAATATCTACAATAAGTCATCATTACATATATACAATGCATGCAATTTCTATTATATGTATAATCTGTATAGTACTACCTGTATTCCATAATAATTGTCACATTTAAAATTTCATGTCTCTTAAGAAAGCCATTAAATTTGTCTAAATTATAATCAATTATTAAGTAAATTGACTACATTATCCTTAATTTAATACTAATTCTCTAAAAAAATCATTAAATGGAAGTAATAATTATTAGTCATATACAAAGGGTAAACATTGAAAAAAAGATTTATTATTTCTTGAAACCACAAATGTGACAAGTATTTTAAAACAAACTATTTTTTCAAATATGATAAATATTATGGAACGAGGATAGTATATACTAAATAAAATAAGAAACAGATTATTAAGAGAGTGAAAAGGATAAGTGTTAACTTAGAACCTCACCCTTATACCCTGGTTGGAGGTTAAGGAGGGGTATATAAGGGGAATGAGAAGTAATTTAGATACATATTGCCGTTTGAAAAGAGGTGAGTTAAGGAAGGATAAGGCTATATAAGGCAACCCTTACTTTCCTTTACTCCTCCATCTCAAATTTTGCTACACCCCAAATTGGAGTGTAAGGGAAGAGAGACCGTAACAAAGTATTTTTGTATTACATTTAATTATTTATCTCTGTCTTTGTATTTCCATTAATTCAACCATTTCCAAATATCAACATAATTTTATTGTAACTCCTCTTACCATTCCCCTTCCTTACCCTTCCATTAATTATCCTTCCATCACCCATCCAAACAGAGTGTTAAATAACACCTTTGATATTTATCATACTTAATAAGTTACAAATTCCAAATCTTAGTTACCAAACTTATCCTTTCTATTATACACAAATATGGGCCCCCATGTTCAAGTGATCTCCTAAATTTGTTATATTTTCACGGATAATTCTAATAGATGTCATATTTTGAAATTTATGTTTAGAGATTGTTAATTTGACTTTTCAGTGTAAATTATTGTCAATTTAATTTTGTTTTTTACTTTTATGCCCTTTTTTATTTTGTTAGGTATTAGTGTTCTAATTGCTTAGTGTTTCCTTTTTTTATTAATTTTCTAATTTAATTATCAGTGTTTTAATTGTTTAGTGTTTTCTTTTTTATTAATTTCCTATTTTAATTATCGTTTCTTTTTTTAGTTCCTTTTCTTTTTCTGCTGTCGTCTTTTTGCAGCCTCCATTATTTTCTGCATCGTTCTTTCTTATTTTGTTGCCGTCTATTATTTTTTTATCGTTATTTCTCCTTTTGCTCTCATTATCTTCAACTGTCAGTTGTTCTTCTCATTATTGGCGTTGTTCCACGGTTTCTTTTTTTTTTATTCTATTTGTCTTCTGCAATTTCATTTTTTTATAAGCATATCAACGACTTAATTTTTGCTGGAAAACTGTTACCGCCATGGATGTTGTTTATGCTCTAAAGAGATAAGGTAGAACTCTCGATTCTAATTGGATTGATACGGATACAATATATATATGTATATATATCGTATTTATCGTTGTTGTGGTCGTCGTCGCCTGTCATCATCCTCATTGTTAAATCACATAAGTTGTATAGGGATTTGATTTTAGAAATACCTATTTCTTTGTGTTTTTTTTTTTTTTTTTTAAGTTTCCTTTTTTTCAGTGTTTTCTTTTTTTTTAGTGTTTTCTTTTTGTTAGTGCTTCCTTTTTTTACCAAATCTATTAGTTTCATATTGTTTAAAGTTACTTTTTTATTTTATTTTTTACCAAATGTATTAGTTTCTTAATATTTGATATTTTATGACATTTACTAAAAACTGAAACCTTCAATATCACGTTTGCCTCGTTGCCTCTAATTTCATGGGTTCTAGCATTGGACAGTTTACTTGGACCTGCTATTTGAGCCTAAAATTAGGCCGGCGATGTCATATATTTAAAAAAAAAAAAAGTTGAAACCATTTGTGTTCGGACAATTGAAATTAAGTAATTTTTATTTTATAAATTAAATAGGGAATTATTATATAAGAAATTATAAGTAAAACGTCATAGATGACCATTGAAATTAAACCAATAGAACTTTGTTGGCGTTGAACAGTGTTGACATTGGGGTGGCTGATTTATTGAATCCTACATTGAAACGAAGACCTGATCTGATCTGTCAGGTTTTAGGTTCCATTTTGGTTTATTCGGTTCTGGATCAATAGTGGTCTTTTTTTTTCTTTTTTATTTCTGTTTCAGTACCTCAACCTTCTTCTGCCTTTTTGATCCCAAAACTTTTTAGGGAGGAATTGAAATTTGAATGAGGCCAGATCCAATTAAAGTTTGGCATTTTCAAGCTGATTTACTATCCAACAAAAAATTGGAAGCGATGCTTAAATAGCCGTTTCCACAACTTAATTAACATGTTCTGTAATATATAGTAATAACAAATATATCATGCAAAGGAAGGTCCAATGTCCTTTGTCTTTTTTTTTTTTTTTTTTTTAGCAGAATCCCCGCTGTTAAAGGCACCAAAAGCTTGCTGAATATACTGATCTCGTCCAAAGGTTTTTAGTTATCAACATTCCATCGTACTTTATTGTGAGAACAGCATGGAAACCAATTTGATAAGTAAGCTTATATCTTTAGGAGCTTTATGTGTCTCCAATAAGATGGTTTCTTTATTTAGTGTCTTCTTCATTTCTGTTTCAGTACCTCAACGTTTCATTGATGGCCTTTGAATTCCAACACCAGAAATATTTGGGAGGTATTGAAAATTGCTTTGATATTTTAGAGGCCGATACATTAAAGTTTAATACAAGGAGATATTTCAAGCTGACGTCCTATCCAAACAAAAATTAGGGAAAGCCGTATGGGCTTAAAATCACGAAACTAAGCCGTTTTCTCGAACTTATACCTAAAATATTAACTGTTTCTTTGTAAATAGATTATTAGTAATAACATAATTTAATATATGCCAAGGAAAAAGGTCCAAATGTCCTTTTTGTCTATTTTTTTTTTTTTATTTTATTTTTTTTTTCATAAGAAAAAAATTGGCTCAACATTAATATATCAGAGTAAGGTGTGTTCCAGACATGAACCCTTCTACGCTAAGCCCAGAAGACTGAATATCAGCATTTTTTTTTTTTTTTTTTTCAAAGAAAAAAATGGCATCAAATATTCAGGTAAGGTGTGTTCAGACATGAACCTCTACGCAAGCCCAGAAACATGAATATCAGCACTCAGAACAAGTATTTGACAAAATAATATAGTTATTCTTGTTAATGTTATTTTGGAATTCAACCCAGAAACTGTCCATTAGAACCAGCAATTAGTGAAATACATGTTTAGTAATACAAGACTTCAGATGATCAGAAGCTCAAACCTGTAGGTCCATACCAATCCAAATGTACAAAGCAATTTGTTATTTAGTTAGAACAAACACATGATCTTCTTATGCATCATATGCCCAATTATCCATTAGTTCAGGCTGCTCTTACTTTCTCCACATTTCCAAAAATAAATATTTTTTGCAAGACAAATGGAGCCTCAGTGTTTTCTCCCCCTGTTTTCAGGTACGAGAGGAATGACTTCTACGGGGAGACCACTCGAGATGCCAACCGTGAGTACTGTGAAAATCAAACTACATCTCTGACTGCTGCTTTCCAAACAACTGCAGATAGCTTGTTAAGAGATCTTCAGATCGCAACACCAAGGATTAATGGTTTCTTCACTGCCAGTAAGAGAGACATAGTAGGTGTCAGTAATGCATCAGTTTATGGCATTGCACAATGTGTTCAAACAATTGATATGAGTGGCTGCTTAGCTTGTATGCAAGTGGCTTATGCCAACATACAAAGATGTCTTCCTAAGACAGACGGTAGAGCAGTCGATTCTGGGTGTTTCATGAGGTATTCAAATAAACCTTTTTTCGCCGATAACCAGACTATCAATCTTGAGCCATTCCTAAAAACAGGTGAGACTTTTCTCTAATAACAAAAAAACAAGCTCAATTTGTTTTGATTAATCTATCTTTTAGCTTGAAAAGACTTCATTTTTTTTTTCAACTTTTTATTTGCTCATCAATTTTGTTGGGTTCTTACAGGAAGTTCAAGCAAAAAGACAGCTCTTATTGCAGGAGTGGCAGGAGGTGTAGGTCTTATTTTGCTTATAATTGGGTTGTTTGCATGGTTTAAGCTTTCAAGGAGGAAGGCAGCGGCAGGAGGGTTAGTGTCTTAAAAATTATTTATGCTTTTTTGAAGTAGGGGTGTAGTCTTGCAATGGTTTAAGCTTTCTAGAATGGGCGGGAGCAGCTCTCTAGAGGTGAAGCAAACAACAAAGAATATGAATTTATCAATAAATGCATTCTATTATTGGAAAAGTAAGGACTCATTTGGGATTAAGAAAAATTAAAAAACACAGATAGGAGAGTAGAATAGTTGCGTAAACGCTTATAGATGAGGTTGAATTAACTTATATTCCTCATTCATGTAATTTATATAATTCATAGATTTGAAAAATAATTTGTTTCATGGAAAATACTTAATTTATACATTTAAGTATATCCCATACAATGAAAAAATCTTAGAGACTACAAAAATAATTAAAAATCTCAAATAGGTGAGAAACGATGTTTTAATATATAATCCAACCCAATCTAAAATTATTTGAAAAACTCACGATAAAGACTAAAGGAGCAATTAGCATTCCCCAAGGAAATAGTAATTATATTATTCAGAGCTACTGATTGCATACCTAAGTTAATAATGCATTCTAAATTCCACGAGATGAGTCATGTTGATTGTTTCTACTTAAAATTACTAAGAAGTCGTTGAAAATTTTAATGTAGGATAACTAACACCTCGAGAATATGAATTCCCAAAACAATCCCTTAACCGCTCAGTTTCAGGTTTAAGATGGAACGATGCCACACTAGAACAAGTCTTTCCAATATTGTAATTACTCTCCCTTCTATACAACATATCGGAAAAAATAAAATTCTAGTTGATAGAAAGACATTTAGATATTTGCCCGCTTTCTGGCATCAAGCCGAATCCATTCCCATACTGGGATTGGCAGGATTCTTGAGTCGCAATGGAGATATCATAATTTACTATCTAATTTGATGCATTAAGTGATATTGTGTTACACTCATGACAATGTTTGGCTTATTATAGTATCGTAGTTGATCAGAATTCTCCTTATCCGATTGAAATGAAGATGTGTACAAGATCCAGCTTTCCCTCCCGCCAGCCAAACATATTAGTGTAGCAGACTGAATTAAGGAGGCCCATATACCAGTATATACTACTATAAACTTATGAAGTGCAAGCACAGGAAATTCTCCATAAAGTGAAGCCATATGTAACAAACTAGAGTATCAGTGAGTGCGCGATTATCCCTGGTGATTTATACCAAGTCTTGATCACAAAAGCCAATATATACTGACACCACGCCCAAAACTAGTGATCCAAGCTCAATATTACTATATTTGCGTTTTCTTCTTTGATGTTTTCCTTGCACTTCTTTTCCAATTTCCTTAAAGCAAATTTCACATTTGTTGCTGATTGCTTCTTGGGCAGAATAAACAGTATTATGATGGTACCCTTTAATACGGAATGGGAAAAATAGTTGCTCCTCAGTAACCGAACCCTAGCTCCGTAAGCCCAATCTCGTTAAAGGGCCACATAGGCCAACGATTTTTGCAAGTCGAAGCTTTGAACCCTGAATCCTATAATAAATGTATCCAGGGAAATCCTTGTCGATAACTGGTTGTTGTAGGCCCAAAAGATGAAACAGAAGGATTAACCTACTTGTTAATGAAATACAATTGGGAATAATCAAATATGGAAAATTTCCTAAAGCAAATGTTCACATTTGTTGCTGATTTGCTTTGGGCAATAAACAGGGTACTTTAAAGAATGGGAAAATAGTTGCAGTAAAGAAACTAGCTCTAAGCCAATCTAGAAGGGCACAGGCAGATTTTGCAAGTGAAGTTACACTTATAAGTAATGTTCATCACCGGAATCTTGTCCGACTACTTGGTTGTTGTAGCAAAGGACCAGAATTACTTCTTGTTTATGAATACATGGAAAATACCAGCCTCGACAGATTCTTATTTGGTAAATTAACTTCATCCCTACTACATAGTATATTTATCACATTATCGAATGGTTTTATAGTGGAAAAGTTTTTGGATTAAATCAAATAGAGCTACAAAACAATCCAAGTCAACAGGCTCAGGTTAAGTTTAACTTAGACCTCACCAACTGGTTTGGACCGGACCAGAACCAGTAGGGGAATAGATCAATCCCGATTTCAGCCCCAAGGAATGAAAACCGGAACCAGCTCAGGACTAACAATTAAACCGATAGCAGGGTCAGTCTGGTTCCAAAAAAGAGAAAATTTGTAAAGTTATAGCCTCCAGGTCTTCTTAGTTTATTTATATATACATTTTCTTTTTGTAGATGTCAAAAATGACCTTTTTTTTATTGAAGTACACATTTTTCCTTCTGCAAATTTCAACCGCTTTATGTATTATATATTTTACATTTCAATATATTGTATAAAATTGAGAACTCAGCCCAAATTTGAATCACGTGTAAACAAACTAAGTTCTATCACTGTGATACTCAAGTTAGCTCCAGTCAATTACAGCAGCAGAATCATATAGCTTCCTACTTGGAGAACTCAGCTCAAATTTGAATCACGTGTACAAGAAAAGCTAAGTTCTATATGATTTAACTTTCAACATCATCAACTGTGATAACTTCAAGTTCAGCTCAGTCAATACAGCACCAGAATCATATAGCCTTCCTACTTGTCTTGCGTTATATGGAACAGTGGACTTTAGAGATTCAACAGATGTTGAAATGTCATTAATTATCAAATCATCTAACCATTAGAACTTTTATTTGGAGCCAAAGAATGACATTTAAAAATTGCTTCGTATAATTTTATTTATTTGTTTGAGAACAGTAAAGAAAAGGATCTCTGAGAAATGTCATAATTATCAAAATCATCTAACCATTAGAACTTTTAATTGGAGCAAAGAATGACATTTAAAATTGCTTCGTATAATTTATTTATTTTGTTTGAGAACAGGTAAAAGAAAAGGATCTCTGATTTGGAAACAAAGATTTGATATAATCCTTGGGACAGCTCAGGGTCTTGCTTATCTGCATGAACAGTTTCATGTATGCATTATACACCGTGACATAAAACCCAACAATATTCTTCTGGATGATGATTTCCAGCCAAAAATAGCAGATTTTGGGTTGGCAAGACTTCTGCCTGAAGATAAAAGTCATCTAAGCACCAGATTCGCTGGCACATTGTAAGTTAAGACTTAATGTTGCATTAAAACACTTCAATGGCTCTACTATGCACGCACAATATATATTGTGTTTAGACTCCCATGTGTGAACTCAGCATCAATACATGTCCCAAGGGAATATGTGACAGCATCTATGGCGCCATAGCATAGATGTTGTCTGGACCTAGCATTGCTCATGTAGAAAAGGGAAGAGAGCGTTCCCCATCATAAGCAACTCTGCTTCAATTCTAACTCGTTCAAGTGTCATAATGTGTGAGTACATAAAAAATGGACTTAGTGCTTTGTGTTCTCTTCTAACAGTGATTAATACTAATGAATCAGGGGATACACAGCACCTGAGTATGCAATCCATGGACAATTATCAGAAAAGGTGGATACCTACAGCTATGGGGTAGTTGTCCTAGAAATCATTAGTGGCAAAAAGGGTAGTGAGATGATAGCCGACCCTGGCTCTGATTACCTTCTCAAACGAGTGAGTACTAACAAGGATGGACATAAATTTATATATTCTCCAATTTTTCAACTTCTACTTCAAATTTAAACTTGTTTAATTAGAAATTGTTTCTGTCTTACATTTCTTTATGACCTAAAACAGGCATGGAAACTATACGAGAATGGAACACACCTGGAATTAGTCGATGAAAGCTTAGGCCCAGATGAATATGAAGCAGAAGAAGTGAAGAAAATCATAGAGATTGCCTTGATGTGCACTCAAACTTCACCTGCTTTGAGACCAACAATGTCAGAAGTGGTTGTTCTACTCAAAAGTACTGGTTCATTGGAGCACAGGCCACCAACTAGGCCTCCCTTTATTGAATCTGAAGAAAGGGTGGTCATCCATGGGGACAGGTCCACATCCACTGCGTCCTCCAAATCCAATGCCACTGCTTCTATAACTCAGGTGTCGGGTCGCTAACCTTTTAGTATCCACACATGCTTTATTACACTTCCTATGATACCAAAAGGATGTTAATTGGGATACCACTGACACATACAATGTTATTTAACCACCAATATGCAATAATTACTGAAGTGCACAACTTCAAGCAAATAATTTGACCATTGAAATGTTATTAATTAAAAAAAAAAATGTGCAGCAGTCAACCACAAAACCACGACATCAGTTTTTTCAAGAAAACTATGCAAGGTATTAGATTTACAGGGATGTTCAGTTTTCTAAATTTCTAAATCCAAAGTGCTTATCACCTTAAGTTGCACCATGTTAAAGGAAGCAATAATCTTGATGTTTCGCCAACAGGGAAAACCCTCATTTCTTTGATGCATAGCGATCGGACATAACAACCTGAACATACTCCAATGTCATATTATCATCAACACAGCTTTTTAATTGCTCATTAATTCCAATCACAACAACATGATATCCTCCATAAGTACATGGAAAGATCTATCCAAAGCACAATGCACCTTATCCTCCATCCACTTCAATTAGACTGCAACCTGGCACCTTTCTTACTTTTTTATCTTCCATTCCTTTCCTTACCCTTGCAACATCACCCCATTTGTTAGCAGAGGCATACATGTTTGAAAGAACAACATGTACCCCACCATGGTCCTGATTCAACTGAACCAAGGTATCAACTGTTTCTTTACCTAACTCAACATCACCATGAACCCTACATGCGTCGAGTAATGCACCTAAAACATAAGAATCTGGCTCCATTGGCATTTCTTTTACGACTTTCTTTGCCTCTTCTAACTTGCCAGCTTTTCCCAAGAGATCAACCAGACATCCATAGTGCTGAACTTGTGGCTCAATACCATATATCTTACTCATGTTTTCAAATATTCTCAATCCTTCATCCATCAGCCCCATTCGGCAGCAAGCATTTAACACACTTACAAACGTAACATCATTTGGTACAACTCCTTCATTCTACTTACAAACGTAACATCATTTGGTACAACTCCTTCATTCTCCATCCTTTCAAACAACTCAATAGCAGCTGCACTCTCACCATGATTTGCTAAACCTGATATCAAACAAGTATAAACGTAGACATCTCTTTTTGGCAATTGATCAAATATGGAAAAAGCAAGATCGATACATCCACACTTTGCATACATGTCAATGAGCGCAGAGCCAATTATTCTATCCAATTCAATTCTATTTTTATTAATGTAAGCATGTATCCGCCTTCCTTCATACAAATCACCAAGAAAAGCACAAGCAGTAATTGCACCAACAATGCCAGCATGATTTGGCCGAAACCCAGATATCTGCATAGCATTAAAAAGCTCAAGAACCTCTTTAAACAATCCAACTTGTACATACCCAGTGATCATCGCACTCCAAGAAACAGAATTCTTCTCAGGCATTTTATCAAACAGTCCGCGTGCAACCGTAACTTGCCCAGATTTCAAAAACCCATTAATCAAAGCAGTCCATGTAATAACATCTCTATTAGAACTCACATCAAACAATTGACGAGCATGATCCATGAAACCAAAAGTTGCAAATAAATGAATCAACCCATTTTGAACAAAGTCATAGGACTCCCAGCCCAATTTGATGGCTTGGCCATGGCAAGCTAAAGCCAAGAAAAAATAATTCAAGTCAGTGCAAGCTTTGAAAAGGAAAGAGAAAGTATAGTTATTAGGCAAGAAATTGCTTCAGAGCATATGCTTATACAAAGCAATAGCTCTGCTGGGTTCAGTTGCTTCAGCAAAAGCTCTGATCATGGTGTTCCAAATGAAGGTAGATCGAAATTGAAGGCGAAGAAAAAGTTGGTAAGCGTGACAGAGATTTCCGGCACTGGAGACTGCACAAAAAGATATGATTTTTGCAGCGGCATAGGGGTCCTTGAGGGTGCCTGAAACTGTGAGATGGGACTGGATTTGCTTGATTTGTGAGAAAGCAAGGCATCTGTCTAAGAGAAAGACGCTTTTCTTGGTAGCTTTTACATATGTGGAGGCAGATATGGAAGCCAACATAGGTATTTGATAAAATGTCAAAATCAAAGTGTGGTTTTTGGTGATGGAAATGAAAGAAGTTTCCCTGCGGAAGCAGTGTTTGGAGCTATGGAGATAAAATAATGGGCGCCAAAATAATGAATTAGTTTTTGTTAACAAAGAGAGAAAAAAAAAAAAAAAAAAAAATGGTTTTATATGCGTGATGCAGAAAATAAAAGAAAGTTCCCTGCCGGAAGCAGTGTTTTGGTAGCTACCGTGCGAGAATAAAATAAATGCGCGCGGCGCGCCCAAAAAATGAATTAGTTTTTTGTATAACAATAAGATGAGAAAAAACAAAAAAAAAAAAAAAACAGCTATGAAATGGCTTTGCCAGAATGGAAAAATTCACTGTTGTAAAAAAAAAAAAAAAAAAAAGCTATGAAATGGTTGAAGAATGGAAAATTTACTGTTGTTTTTAGGTCAAAAAGAAAAAAATAAAGTAAAAAGCAAAAACTCTCAGTTTTATTTGGATAAATCAACAAAAATACCCTCAAATATATAATTTCTTGTAAAATTATTCTATTTAACCTTTGTATCTGATTTTTTCATTTTAAAATATAGATATATTGGCACCTTGTCCTTAAGTGAAACTAGAATTTTAAAATAAAATATTATAAACACTGTACCATAACTTGGCTTTAGATTTTCCTTTAACGTTCCTACTTCTTCCTTGCCTAGGGCTCTGTTTGACAACAGTATTTAAAGCAGAGTTTAGAGTTTTTGACTGTGTCAAGACACTATTTTTGTAAATTATATCGTTTGTTAAAGTAATTTATAAAATAACCATTAGTGGATAAGCTAGCGTTTATTAAAATGTTAATCCTACGTTTCTATTTTTTTATTAAAATTTTTTTTTGACAATTATGTTATTAATTAATTTTTATTATCTTTATCCTTATCCTTAATTAACTTATATTATCCTTAATTAATTTATATTAACATTAGTTTAAAGTCTTTTGATATGGTACTACAACCCTGCAATTAAGTTACAAAATTACCTCATTTTACAAGAAAAATGAATAGTAAATTTTACACCATTATTTTACTTCCTTCCCTTCCAAACATAGCATAAGAAAAGATATAAAATATTATTGGAATTCCCACTTAAAAAAAAAACAAAAAAAAAAAAAAACAAACACTCACAAACAAGCTTTATCTCTAATTATTCCTTTACTTGATCTCTAATTATTCCTTTACTTGATCTTGATTCTGACCACCACATCGATATTGCCGTCGATGATGCCAATGAGATCGATTTCGATCCCATGAAAGGACAATGGTTCTTTATTAGGAGAGAAATTGATTGAAAGTGTCTATAAAAAGTTTATAACTCCTTCGTCTTAAAAAGATAATTTATTTTCTATTTTCATACATATTCAAAAATATGGTTAATGGATAATTTTATTCATATAACTTTCTTATTATATCATCTTAAATAGCACATGAATAATTATTATTATATTAGAATAATAACTAAGAATTAACGAGAGTTATTGAAAATAAAGTAAAATTTAATAAAAAAATATAGTAGAAAATTTAAAGATTAACTATAATGCAAAAAAAGAAAGTATATTTTAGGATAAATTAAAAAAAAAAAAAGATAAACTATCTTTTTAAAACAGAAGAAGTAGTTATTATCGAGGACTCAAAATTAGTTCCTCCTATTGGAGTTAATGGAGCCATGCCCGCAGAGATTGTACCTTTCTATTGGAAATTTACAAAAAATGCTTCAAGAGATTTTTGATCATTTAGATTGCTTGGCCAAGACGAGGAGAAGTGGAGACAGTAAAAATGGTGAGCCTTTTGTTACTGATAATGAGAATCATATTATGGATTTGTTTTTTCAAAAGGATATTGGTGACTTATAACATTGTGTTTTGGGCTTCGTTAACACAAAGGTAAGTTATGGGTTCTATCTTTATATTATTTTATTCTACGGTTCCAATTTAAAAATAGAGTGTTAATATATATGTATTTCAAATTGGATGTCCAGACTATAAATGTTAAATTATAGTGACTTTGTAATGAATTATATAGTTGAAGGTATTTTTATAGTTTAAATCATTTTGTTTCTATAAAAAAACAATTCCATTTAATTATGACACTTTTTGATTTTTTTGTTCCACTTACATGACATGTTTTAGAAAATAAAAAATAATACTCCGTTTCTTCCCTTTTCACAAGAATTAAGAAAATAATTGAAACTATAAATGTTAAATTATAGTGACTTTGTAATGAATTATATAGTTGAAGGTATTTTTATAGTTTAAATCATTTTGTTTCTATAAAAAAACAATTCCATTTAATTATGACACTTTTTGATTTTTTTGTTCCACTTACATGACATGTTTTAGAAAATAAAAAATAATACTCCGTTTCTTCCCTTTTCACAAGAATTAAGAAAATAATTGAAATGCATTGATTTTCTAAATATATGGTAGAATATCTAAATTGCTCTTTTTAAAATTAAAAGCTCTCTGTTTAATTTTATTACAAAACACCTAATAAATATAGGTAAATGGAAAAAAAATAATTAATATATAGGTAAATGGAAAACAATAATTAATATACGCTCAAAATTCTAAATGAGCACTTAAAGTGAAACAAGGTAAAATCTATACTACAAAGCGAGTATTAATTATTTTATGTTAATTTTATCTTTATCTAATCAAATTTTATCTCTTTTAATTACAAAGAATTAATCGAATGAAGGTTCTAATTATTAGAAGATTTTTTTTTTATTATTGTTGTCTAACTTCACGGTAAATGCACATATAGCAATAACTAAGATAAATATAGGGTCTGTGCAATAAAATTAGTTGCTTTGAAATGCTGCCTTAACATCTAAAAGCTAATTTGCACTACTCAAAATGCTAAAAGCTACTTAAAAAGTTATTCCCAAAATAAGAGAATTCCTTGGTCAGTGTGTAACCATTTTTTCCAATACTAAAGAAAAAAAAAATCGTTCGTCAAAAAAAAGTTTTCACGGAAAAAAAAATTTGGAAAATTTTATTGGGCAATGAAAATTAGCTTTTTTTTTTGAACTACTAAATATATTGGATTAAAGGTAAATTTAGCCTCTAAATCTGTATTTAAAGAGATTAAAAATGTCGATTAACTTTTTCGACCGATTTAACACTTGAACTTATTTAGAATTAAAAAGATTATATTTTACCTTTTAGGCTTATTTAACCCATGATTTTGAGTGTAATATTCATCAAAACTATAATTGGGATCCGATATATTTAAAAAATTAATTAAGAATTTTTTTTCTAAAAATATCTTATATTTGAAAAATATTTTCTAAGAAAAATATTTTTCTTGAAATATATTATTTAAATAACTCATTTTTTTTGTTTGTTTGCAATATTGAAAATTAATTAAGAAATATTAAAATATTTAACTTACAAGATTATAAAAATATTTATAATAGTGAAAAATATATTTTAACATTTGATGAACTTTTATTATTTTAAATAATCATACCCTCTAAGTGTGGTTTTTTGTTGTTAGTTGCAATTACTTATGCAAAAAATTAATTATAGAGAAATGATGTATAAAGAAGTATTTAATATTTTTACAAGACTCTTATAAAAATTATTCACTATAATTACAAAATTTTATATTTTTAAAAAATGTATTTGTAAATATTGAGAAAAAGGAGGTGAGATAAAAATAATAAATTCTAATTTAGTCATTGGTGGCGTGGTTGTGGCAAGTTGCACTCCATAGCGCAGATTGAAAATTAATTAAGAAATATTAAAATATTTAACTTACAAGATTATAAAAATATTTATAATTACAAAAATTTTATATTTTAAAAATGTATTTTTAAATATGAGAAAAAGGTATAAAAATAATAAATTCTAATAGTCATTGGTGGCGATGGTTGACAATGGACGGCGACTTATAGTGATGGCTATCGGTGATTAGTAAATTGATAAATGTGTATTTATAAGGTTATAATAAGTTTGTTAATGTTTGAAAAATGATTTTCTTCATTGAAATTAGAAGTCATTTTCCTTAAAAATACTCAATTTTTCTTTGATTAGAAAAATATTTTATATTGATTGATTTTCCTAAGCATTCCAAATATCAGAAAAATCTAAAAAATAGTTTCCACAAGTTATTTTCAGAAATAAATGGAGTCTAAATATGAAATAGAAGTAATATACACATGAATATACTGTATCTCTCTTTATTTTCACTTATCATTTTTTGAATTCATAAATATATATCAATTCAAATATTTTAAAAATTAATTTTTATCACTAACTTTATTATAAATAGATGCATTTTTCATGTCGTATGGATTAAAGTTATTTTCCATGTTTTATGAACTTATTATGTGTTGGAAAGAATGATGCTTTTATGAAATTTAAACTTCAATTCACAAGTGGAAAAATTTAATCTGAGTGTAAATTCAGAAGTGGAGTTAACAAATCTAACGACATGAACATCAAGAAAATAAACTCCATTTAGCCTCATTAGACCAGAAACGACAATCCTTACATTGTATCAACGTGGGGTGTCTAGTTTAGCTTCTTGATAAAAAAAGAAACCATTATATCCAGACAAATAGAGTGTCTTGCCTAAACTAAGAAATTTGCATCATATTTAAAAAGTACTTTAGGATATTAAAAAGGAAGAGGAAATAGAGGAAAATAACGAGGAAATTGTAATTTTCTTTTTATGGTCATTTTCCGCTCTTGTTTGAATTTAATGAAGGGAAGAAAATAGATGTTATTTTCTTTTGTTTGGAAAGGAAGAAATTTTAGAGAAAATTAAATATTATTGTTGGAAACTTTCAATCATGTCATCACTTAAATAATGTATTTAAGAAAGAGTTTTAAGTTTTTTTGAGTATAATATATTAGGATTTCTTAAAAACTTCATATCAATACAAATAATGCAGGAGGACATAACTCTCTCTTAAAAATTAAACATAGAACAAAACTATTATAACTAAAATAAATATTGTTTGCTAATCGAATAAAAAATCGTAATAAAAAATTGAAAAGTGAACTCAAAAAAATTAACAGATCTTTCAAAGTAACTGGCTAAATAAACTCCTAAATCTTCC